AAAAAATGGGGGCACCTTAAATGGGGATACCATGGTGGAAGGGTTAGACAATGTGAGAGATAAATAATGCCTAGGTAGTTTTAAAAACCAGAGGGAACCATATTAGTCCAACAACCTAATGACAAATTATACATACCAGATCAAGAAATATATGCTAGGTAAGGTTTATCTGAGAACAATTGGTCTTTGCCCAAGATTTATCTACATGACACATGGTAATTAAATGTACCAGACTGGTCGAACTAACCTTCTTGGATGTTTAACAGACATACTTTGAGGCCTCTAATAATTTGGTAAGAGGGACATAAAGGACCGTTTTTGCTCCTTGACCTCCTAGGTCAACTGACTAGTTCCAGGGGACTATGAACATCTCTCAAATTGTCCTGTAATAGTGGTGGGTCACCTATCCTCTTGATCAAGGAAGACGAGGAGACCCCACCAGATGGACTTGAACCAGTGTCCAGTCTACAAAGAGGAGGATCAACACAGATGAATCATTTCCTCCATGCTTCCAAGCGAAGCCAGCCATGGTCAAGCAGGACCTTTGAGTTATCTTCACATAAGCGGAACTGGTAAAAGAAAGGAGCCAGGGGCTCCTCCCAAGCCCATGTGACCCCTGAGGAACAGATCCTCAAATGACCTTAAGAGTAAGGGTTCTAGTCGGGGGAGGGAGGCTATGGGAGGGTGCCATCTGGGAAGTGGGTGTACAATTGAATAAGATGGTTTGGGATGTTCTGTGCGATACACACACACACACACAAAATCAACAAATTTTTAAAGGATGTATTATGTTTGAGGAGGAGGCATGGAGGTTTGCGTCATGCTGATTGGTAGAGGTGGTGGACAATACCGTTGAGGTCTGCCCGATGACTTTGTATACATACACAGGTGCCAAGGATCCAAGTGCAACCGATTATGACTGGTAATAGTCAGATACATACAGATTGGAGATGCAAGCGCCAACATCTCAGTGTTGGTAGCAAAAACAATGAGTCTTTCTGCAAGGAAAAATATATTCTAAAATGAAATGGAGATCTTTTTTAAAAGTTAAAAACTCATCCAATTTTATGTCTTACAGGGCTTATACTGAGTTCAATAATATATAACTATATTAATTCAACTGTGAACCTAGAAACTTGCAGCCACTTGTGAAAGAGATGTACTCTTGCTCTGGAGTGTGTTACTGAATATGTTAAAGTTGTATTTAACAGCTTCTAATCATGTAGTTATTAAAAAATTTTAAATTTATAATGATAAAAAATAATTCTTCAAAACATAAAAATTTGCTCCTTAATAATTAGTAGATGTGAAAAGCATTATCATTGAAATCTACCTGGTGACTTTATATCCATGCTCAGATGCCAAGGAGCTCAGAAAGTAACCAACTGTAACTAGTAATAATCAGATATATAGAGATTGGAAACTCATATGAATCTTAGTGTTAATTGTATTAAAAATG